GAATTTTTGATATTTGTGTTACAGTTTAGCTAAATAATTTGTTGTTATGTGTGTTATAGACAGAAGCGAATAACCAGAGAGGAGCATCAAGATGAGGTCTCGTTTTATCCTTGCTTGTCTTCTGATCTCTGTGTGTGGTCTCTTTTATCTTCCTCTGCTCAACCAGGTTCGTTTTGAGTTTCACAATTTACAAATGAACACCCCTAAATGGCATTTTTGCAAGGTTGTTACTTTAAGACTTTAGAGGATAGAATTTGAAAGGTCTCAATTCTTAAATTCAAGTATCAAATATGGGACAGATTTAGCTTTTTCTGTTCTATTTTTTCCTTGTTTTCTGTTTTTCCTCAATTTGTTTATAGTATTAATTTAATTTGTTTTGACGACAATTTTAAAAAAAAACAATTACAATAATACGTTTCACTTCGAAGGTTCGATCACACTGAACAAAAATGAGCGAATGATATGAGTCAACAAATTTTTTAAGTATGATCAATTGGGGGGTGAATTGATACAAAAACTAAACTGTGGAGGAAATTAATAAGAAAACAAATCTTAAGTGATACATTACTAAAACACACAATTTATAAAAATTGCTGTAATGTCTATTTTCTTCCTCTTACCATCTACCATTCTCCTGCAATGGAACAAGTGAATCCACTGGACTAAAAAAAAAAAAGGTAACATTCATAAAAACAGTGATAATGGTAATCGAGAAACTTCGAAGCCTTTTATTTTCACATAAGGTTCTTCCAAGTGGATAATCGAACGATTAGGTGTTAAGCTTTTGTGAGTACGGTTCACAATTTCTTTCCATTGATAAAACAACATAGTACAATCTATGATGATTCGTCCATGGAAGATAAAAAAGAAAAAAAAAAGCCATTTGGACTCCTACAGTGGGATGAAATTGTGTCAACCGTACTCAACAAAAGCTTAACCCCTAATTATGCGATCATTCACGTCAAATGTACCAATAGGCAGCCTCGAGAGGAATTAGCTATAAAACATACAAATACTCTCATC